TATATTGTGTTAGATAGCTAATAGAGAGAAGTGTCCTCTCTTATCTCCGTGCTTGATCGATGCTACGTACTATACGTATAGAGAGGACTCGACATGCTACCTAGTAAGCAAATGAAGGAAACCATTAAGTACACAAGATCGTCATGAACATATACAAAGAGAAGTGATCGACCACTCTTTCTTCGGGAGATTGGTCGAACAACAAGTTTTCGTACATCTATCCGACGCTACTAGCTACATATGTACAATATAAGATCTCTTACAATCCCTAGCATTTGATGTCAAGTTCCACATGGTATTCTCCGTATTTATCTATGACGTGGTCAAGAAAGAATCCCGCCAATTCCTCTTGAATTGCTTTTATGCGATCTTGTGGTAGGAGTTCATCACGCAGCTACCAAAGATAATTTGAAGAAGGGGGTCAATACATATATATGAATGAAACTCCACACAAATGATAGTAATAAAATAGAATTGTGAATATTATTGCTTACACACTTCATAATCTTCTTTAGAGTAGCCCCGCTTAGAGGTCGTCGTGTTGTAGATATACTCGCAAATGTAGTATCCACAAAAATTATTCCCGCCTTCCTGCCACAACCACTTTACGAGAAATAGAGGTCAATCAAACTGATAATCAAGCATTATAAATTGTATTGCTGAAACTAGCTAGAATCAATGAGAGATGTGCGGAACTAGCTAGCTAGTATATACTTACTTTCGGGTGTGTAAATCGCAGCTTCCCCGGCAGTCCCGGAGCTTCTGCGGTAAACACTTTCCAAACCCTGCGAGACAAAGAAAATAATTATTACTTGATATCAGAAAATGAACAAAGTTGCCGATAAGGTGCGATAATGATCGATTGAACTTACTTCTCGAGCATTTCAGTCATGGCCGCATACTCCTTGGGATCTTCTCGTCTTGAGTCTAAGACGGTTACTACTCCCTGCTCAAGCTTAGTCTCTAGGAGAATAAAGTGGAAGTTGCGCACGCATGCATAACTCATCAATTACATTACTATAACCTAGAGTAATAAGGGAAACTAAATATGCACAAGATAGTAACACTCACTTGAAGTTGTAAGGAAAGAGTATTTTATCTTTGTTTTGATTTTGAAGCAACGATTTTAGCAAGTTGGCCTCGGCTTCTTTGGCATCATGTTTAACCATCCATTCATCTATGAGATTTGTGTTAATGAACCCAATATCATAGATTTGTCTTTTCTTGCATTCGACGATCTTCAATTTGCATACTATAGTGAGGATAATTATATATATATACATGCAATGAAAGAGATGAGCTATATATAGAGACTTAATTATAGAAGTAGTACTTACAAACAGTAGCACGTGATGATTATTTTATCAAGGGCCTTTTGATTGAAAAACTGGAAGAACTCCTCAAATGGAACAGACAACAGATCAATTCCAACGAGGTCGTGCTCCTCTTTAACTCTCAGCGTCAAAATATACTTCCCAGACTTGCAGGTGTCCATGTACCACTTATGGAATCTTCGCATCATCGTTGTTAGAGGAGGATCACCAGGTTTGACGAGAGGCTTCCCGTACCAGTATTTGTGTTCGTCCACCTCCATTGTATCAAAATGTGCAGAGTCGGGAAGGTAATCACCAGGATTGGTACCGGGCAGCATCCCCGGCAGATTTGCAACGATATCGCTAGACACCTTTAGCGGGGGGCACGATTGGTTTGCCTGTTCGCCGAGCTGGGGAATTTTTCCCCACATTTTTGTTGTTGTAACCTTTTGTCACTTGAAGTAGTTCCCGACCGGCGCGCTTCTGCGCTGCCTTTTTAAGAGCCCGGACATGGTTGTCATCCGGCGGAGGCGGTGCTGGTCGCTTCAGGGCATCCAAAGTGTGCTTCAATTTCACCGGATCTATCTTC